AGTCGTTCTTCCTGGGGAACACAAACACATTCGTTGCACAACAAATTACCTATCTTTAATGTTACTTTAAGAATAAAAGATTTCAGTTTTCATGATTGTCATTTAATTATCCTTTAATGAACCATTCAACTGTGTCCAGCTTTCTAGTATACAACTGGCAACTGACTTCAACTGTGTCCAACATACTAGTATGCACATTTTTTCCTAACCTTCAAATTGCTTGCCACTTGCCAACATATTTTATCTCGGCATAATTCTTTGATATCTTCTGGAATCTTTCCATAACTATGAAAAATTCTAAGGCCAGAAGGGTCAACATGGATAATGACAGGTAATGACTGTCCTACGTACTAGTATGCCTAACTAGCATAAGTAAAAAGTGAAATAAGGAGCTGCTCCACCACCAGCTTCCCTACCAGCAGTGTGTGGAAGTAGCACGAAGATGACTTATTGATTTAAAATTTGTTACAATTTCATGATACTAACAGAATTCAACCACAGAGCACATTAAGTGGATTAACCTAATAAAGTGACTGACTTATTTCCATGTTCTGATGAGTATTACACCTTGAAACAATTGCAGCATCATAGGATTTTGCTTTAAATATTTTATAATAGTCCAGAAGGTACACAGGTATTATGGACACAGTGTTTATACAACCCTAGGACATTTCCTTGAACCCACATATACTACAGCAAATAATTAACCTAGTATAACCCAATATACAATGACTTATTTTCCCGTTTTGAGGAGTGTTACACCTTAAAACAAATGTAATGTAGGATTTTGCAAATATACATACATCAGCAATTTCAAACGTTTATGAACACCCTCAAAGGCCCCCAGCAACACTTAAAAGGCCCCTTTCAAGCTCAACCTAACCAAACACTATCAAATGAGATTAATCACTTTTCCAGACTTACTGGGTCATTTCTGCAGTTTTCTATACTAATCATGGACTTCTTTTCATGAGGGGAGGTTGAACTTGCTATTACAGCATCCAATCGACTTTTTTAATTAAACTCAAAGGGATTACTAGAACACACTGCTGTCGAAAGTTTGAAGCTGATATGAAAAGGCATTTTCAGGTAATTGCAAGAAAATCCATACCCAAAGTTATTTAATGAGTAAATAGGAACAAATGCAAAATAAACCAAGTCTTTCTCCAAGTATGATAGTGTTGTTGAGAGTTTAAAGTCTATCACAAGCAGCAGCAAAAACAGCACCACTATTTTTCCACTTAATGTACAGAAACTAATATCACAATTGGTTTAAACAATTAACAAATTGTGGCTTAAACAACCAAATAATAAATCTTCATCAGACCAGAACACACCAATCCTAAATATTTTAACCTTTAAACTGGGGTAAACCCACAAACAAAAGGTGCTATGTGTGGGGCAAAATCTTTAAAATTATTTTTTGTTGCAGATTACCTAGCATTTTGATAATATGGATTCTTGTTAACCAGCACCTCCCCTCCATTAGTCAGTTATAATGAAGTTTCATTGTGCTTACTTGCTGCCCACTCTGCATCCTGAGTCTAGTGATTGTTGAATTTGTGCTGTGTAATGAAAGGCCTGGCAAGACTCCACACTGGTGGTGCAGGTATGTAGGATGCAAGATGGGTGGAGGCAGCAAAGAGGTTGGTGGCCACATCTGGAGAGGCACTTATCACAAGAACTTCAAGTCCAACCTGAAAATTAATAACAATGTAATTCATATGGTTCATTAAGGCTGCAATTAACACCTACATATACCCTATCCACTCTAAAGCCTCCTTGCTCATTTGCAATCCTACTCACTGAAATAACTGACCTCCATATCAACTGCACCAGTGTTCAACGGGAAGACAACATGGCAGAAAACCTGATCAACAAAACTCCAAGGAAATGACAGGTCTGTAGGACTTTTTTCCCCTCAGTGCCAAACGAGGGAAAGAATTGAACATTTAAACATGGCTGACCGGCATCCAGCTACTGCCAGACGTACAACTAGCGAAGCGAAATTCTCATCTTTACTGACGTTCATCTGTACTGACAGTAGCATCATATCACTGTACCACCATCATATCACCCGTACCAGTGTTAACGAGAGGGAAACACAGCAGACATCGTCAAATCTACAATACAAAACTCCAAGGTTATAGGTCGGCTATCCCTCAGTGCCAGTTGTGGGAAAGAAGTGAATAGTTAAACAGACAAGGTTAATGTGTTAGTAGCTGACCTATATTCAGCTGACCAGTGTACAGTGAGAGAATCATAGCAGAAAACGCCAAATATATCTATAAACTCAAGGAAAGTCAGGTTGTAAGTGGCGTTTAATCCCTCAGTGTTTTAAAAATGGCTGAGTCAGCAGACCAGGTCAGGCAGTCAACAACACGACACAACCCCCGATAAATGGAATTGAGGGGATTTGGAAGGATAAAACCACTGATTAAACCTTTCTGGTCTACCAGAATGGAAAGAAGTTAGAAGTTAATAGGTGAAACAGGACTGTGAAGTGAGGCGGGAAGGGGAGTGTGTAATAAGGGGTTAACTGAAAGGGGCGTGTTTCCATTGGGGTGCTTTTTAATCTTGTCCCCCACTATACGACCCACAACAGTTGACTAACACCCAAGTAACTACTTACTGCTAGGTGAACAGGGTCAGCAGATGTAAGGAAACAGCCAATATGTCACCCATGCTGGGGACTGAACCATGGACACACTGTGAGGCGAGTGCGCTATCAACAGAGCCACGGAATGCCATGTAAAGCAATTTATCTTTGAACAATTCAATAACATCAAACGGAGGAGCAAGGTTTCCTTACTGAGTGCACCATAAAATACAATACTTCCATTAAACATAAAGAAAATCCGTCCTTACCAGTGAAATAAGCACTGGTTGGAGAACACAACATCCACTCACCAACCACAAAGTCTAGCCATACACTGTCAGGCAGGGAACGTGATGGTTACCCCCCCCCCCCAACATCGTTCCTCGCTGTTAACACTTACAAACTTTTAATAACCACTTCACAACTACAAGATATACAGGTCTAGCTGACATCAGTGACATGCTACTATATAAAAAGCCGCTTGTTATACAGAGCATTTCTAGCAAATTAGGTCAGTTTTGTCCCAGGATGCGACCCACACCAGTCCACTAACACCCAGGTACCTATTTTACTGATGGGGAACATAGACAATAGGTGTAAGGTAACACGCCCCGTGTTTCTACCCTCGCCGGGAATCGAACCCGGACACTCACCGTGTGAAGCGAGAGCTTTAGCCACCAGGCACCAGTGATATATTCAGATATGTGTATAACACGTAATGCACATACGCCAGAAGTGTATCTCAGTATTATACACAGACATTTAACTGATCGACTATAGAAGACCACATTAAAGCCGCAATCCAAACACACTAACATCAAGATTATTATTATAGGGGAGCGCTAAACCCGTACGGGTTATACAGCGCATGTGCGGGGGGGGATGGAAGGTATTCAGGTTTAATTCAGGGAACTGGAGAACAGATCGAGAGCCCCTCACCAGTATCAAGGAACTTTCCTTGAGGGATTAGCCTCGGCATCTGCCAGTTCATTTCCCGAGACAAACATGGCCCAGGCGTCCTTGTGCCATGCATGGAGATGCCTCCATGGTCTTTAGCACCACAGGGTGAAGAGGAACATACTGGGCCAGGGCAAGCAGAGCACATTAGGAATGTAAGTGCACAATGAACTGACAACAGCGAGGATTGCACTGAGCTCTGCAGCAAACACAGAGGACTCACCTGATAACCTCAGCAAAGTCAACACTGCCCTCGCTCTTAGACCCGTCAGGAAAGAACTCTACTGACAAGGTGGGTGGTTTCTCCAACACTACCTTCTGACAAGGTGGGTGAGGGTGTCTCCCCAACACCTGCTTCCTGACAAGGTAGGGATGTCTCCCCAACATCTGCCTCCTGACAAGGTGGGTGAGGATGTCTCCCCAACATCTGCCTCCTGACAAGGTGGGTAGGGGTGTTTCTCCCCAACACCTACCACCTGACAAGGCAGGAGCGGGGAAGAAGACTTTAGAAACCACCAAGAGAACTACTAAAGAACATTTCTCATTAACTTTTTTTTTACATTTATAATCAGGGACGTGTACTCATAAGCAGCAAGGTAAGCATTGCTTATCATATAAAAAAAAATTCCCCAAGAAAAATTTATCCATTAGAGCTAAATATTATTTAATTGTATATAGCATGGCACCTTTTTCTTATTTATCTTTGTTAATTTAATCCTGGTGGGAAAAGTATTTGAGAGACTTCTGAAACTATGTTAGACAAGAGTGTTTGATACTAAAAAAAAATCTGCCCCTGGAATACACAACAGTGAATCTGCAGTGACATCGTCTATCTTCCTGCTGGGTACAATGATGTATCACAGCCAGACGTTAACATACAATTATATTAACACACTATTTCTCAAATTCATGACTGTGAAATGCATTCTGATGATAAAATCTGTCCTCGGTATAATAGCTGCTGTCATTACTAAAATAAAAATTCCCTTTGCTAAATATTGGGTAGTGCAACGACGCCAATGGAAATAAGTCACTTAGGCATTTTTGGGTTATCCTAGGTAATGTACACATATGTTACTATCTATGATAATTGTACTCGTGTGGACCTGTACGTAAATAAACTTAGTAAAGCAGAACTTCGTCCCGGTGGTCCCTCCTCGACAACTACTCCGTCCAATGAGTCGCTCCCAGATCGTTGCCAGAAACACGACATAATACTAAACCAGGTTACTGTCAGATATGTAAATCTGGATTCATTAGAATTCTTAGAGCTTTTACGCTCTCCATTATGTGGGTTTGGAAAAGAATTTCCAGGGCTTGATTTTCACTCACTGTAAAGTAATTAACATTTACATGTAAGAAGAATTAAAAAATAAAACTACTACATAAGTACTGAGTTTTATAAAGCTTAAAAGAGGCTTACAATGAAGTAGTTAGTCTAGGGGAATTAATGGTCCCAGTAATTACTACATCTCAACACTTTGCTCATAACTAATTCAAACTTACTCCAGAAAGTCTCAAGATTAAATAAAAAAATATAAAACCTTTACTTTTTATTAATTGAAAAATTAATAATAATATCATTATATCTTTATTATTAATATTTCTACAAGTACATACCATATATAAAATGGTCATAATTATGACTATACTTTTTAAAGGGGTGGACCGGTAAGCCAGCGGAAGGCCTCGGTCCGATGACCAAAAGCTCCAACGGCGGGTCATCTAAGACCCACGTTTGGAAACACTTGTCCTGTTTTCTGACGAACCTGACAAACCTACAAGTACATATACAGGTCTAGCTGACATCAATGACATACTACTATATAGAAAGCCTCTTGTTATGCAAAACATTTCAGGCTAATTAGGTCAGTTTTGTCCCCAGGATGCGACCCACACCAGTCCACTAACTCCCAGGTTCCCATTTTACTGATGGGGAACATAGACAACCGGTGTAAAGAAACATGCCCAACGTTTCTATCCTCGCCGGGAATCGAACCCGGACCCTCACCGTGTGAAGCGAGAGCTTTAACCACTAGGCCACAGGGCCTGGTGCTCAATAATCAAGAATTCAATTGAATTTTGAATCAATAAAAACAAATATTTATTAACATTCATACTTCAACTTCATATGAAAACATCTTAAAGTTACCATTTAAGGTAGCATTTTTTTTTCACGACGCCACTGTCTGTAATATAAAAAATAAAGTTTTCTGGGACAACGCCGGGTTGTTCCATTAGTGAGATATAGAACTTAACACACACATACCCTAGCAACTGGAAGGTGTCCACTTGCCAGACTTCAAGTAATATTTTGGATAATACCTGGAGAGGACTTCGAGGATCAACGCCTCCGCGGCCCGGTCTGAGACCAAGCCTCGTGGTGAATCAGGGTCTGATTAACCAGGCTGTTACTAACCATACCACGGGCGGGGATAGAACCCGCGATCAGAGAGTCATTAAACTCGTGAATCAGGCTGTTACTGCTGGCCGCACGCAAACTGACGTAGGAACAACAGCCCGTCTGGATTTTAGGTGTCTGTCCAGCGCCTTCTTGAAGACAGATGCTGCCATAGTGAAGAGCTCTGTCCCACAAGGCACAGTACTCGCACCTATTCTGTTCCTTATTATCATATCAGACATAGACAGAGATGTAAACCCCAGCACTGTATCATCTTTTGCAGACGATACTGGGATCTGCATGAGAGTGTCATCCACTGAGGACACAGCAAAGATCCAAGAAGATATAAACCAAGTTTTCTAATGGGCAACAGAGAACAATATGATGTTCAATGAAGACAAATTCCAACTACTCCGTTATGGAAAACTGGAGGAGATAATAACTAGGACTGAATATACTACAAACTCCAATCACACAATAGAGCGGAAAAAGGAATGTGAAGGACCTGGGTGTGGTAATGTCCGAAGACCTCACCTTCAAGGATCACAACAACGCCACTATCATATCTGCTAGGAAATTGATAGGATGGATAATGAGAACATTCAAGACAAGAGATGCTAAGCCAATGATGATGCTTTTTAAATAATTTCTCTCTAGGCTGGAATACTGCTGTACATTAACATCCCCACTCAAGGCAGGTGAAATTGCAGAGCTAGAGAATGTACAGAGAACTTATACTGCACGTATAAGTTCCATCAAACACCTTAACTACTGGGAACGCCTGGAAGCACTTGACTTGTACTCACTAGAGCGCAGGCGAGAGAGATATATCATAATCTACACCTGGAAGATTCTGGAGGGACTGGTCCCTAATATGCACACAGCAGTCACTCCATACGAAAGCAAAAGACTTGGCAGGCGATGCAACATACCCCCAGTGAGAAGTAGGGGCGTCACTGGTACACTAAGAGAAAACGCAGTAAGTGCCCGGGGCCCAAGACTGTTCAACAGCCTCCCACCAGCAATAAGGGGCATTACGGGAAGACGACCCCTGGTTGTCTTCAAGAGGGACCTGGACAGATACCCAAAGACGGTGCCGGATCAGCCAGGCTGTGGTTCGTACGTTGGATTGCGTGCGGCCAGCAGTAACAGCGTCGATGATCAGGCCCTGATCCACCGGGAGGCCTGGTCGTGGACCGGGCCGCGGCGCTTCCACCTTCAACAGACTCTTCAGCACATCTGCTAATTAGGGAAGGTGGACAACAAATTTGCTTTCACAATTATTCATAACAGCAAACACACACTCTATCATACTTAAGCTAAACCAGGAACTGCTTCCATAAATTATTACACTTTTTACTTTTCAACAGAATTCAATGAACTGAAGCTTTAAGTCAGTAAGTTTATTTAGGCACAGGTACACATAAATACAATAATCATAAATAGTGTAAATTAATACGATAACCCCCAAAAAAGTCGAAGTGACTTATTTTCATGCGATAACTAAAGAGACGACAATTTACGCGACAAAATAAATTTTAATATAATCTAAGCAATATTTATTCCATATACAAGTTTCTTTTACACTTGCTTTCTGGAAACTCCATTCCCCTCAGTCTTCCTCAGCTATAAGTAAGGCGGATTCTTAAGTCGCTGGCACTCCCCTGCCTGACGTGGGAGGGGACGGTCGTGCTGAGGAGCCAAGAAGGACGGACACGTGTGCTATGTTTGTAAACACAAACTGGGGGAAAAAAAAAACATACTGACAAACACCAACTCTTACAAAATTTAATCAACACATTGGATTTAGTGATGCAGTAAATAACAATATTTCTCTGGAAATTACACAAAATAAGGTAAATGGAGATAAAAAGTATTCAATTATTTTTAACAGATACGAGTAATTAAGCATTAATATATAATATATATATATATATATATATATATATATATATATATATATTATATATATATATATATATATATATATATATATATATATATATATATTATATATATATGAAGAGGGAACTAAAAATGGACGAAACGATGAAAGTAACTATGTGTCACTAAACGTGAAATCTCTGGAAATACTTTTGGTGGCAATTGGGTGAGAATGTTTGGAGGAGCCGTGTTATACTCAGGGAAGACTTGTGATCCACGCTCACCAGTTTACTCCAATCTTTGTTCTACTTCGAGGCGCTGTGAGTGATGATTATCAGATATACTCTTGTGTTGTTGTTCTGATAACTGTGTACTGATACTTTTCTTCCAGGTGTGGTGTGTGTTGTATTGCTCCAGGTGTGGTGTGACTTGTATTGTTAAATGTGTTGTATCCCATGTGGTGTTGTATTGCTCCATGTGTGGTGTGTGTTGTATTGTTAAATGTGTGGTATTATTCCATTTGGTATGTTGTATTGTTCAGTGTGATGTATTGGTCCAAATGTGGGTTGTATTGTTCCTTGTGCGTGTTGTGTTGGTCCAAGTGTAGTGTGCTGCACTGTTCTGAGTACTGCACTGTTCCATGTGTGTTGCATTGTTCCATGTGTGTTGTATGCTCCATTTGATGTATTGTCCCATGTATGTATTTTCATGTATAGTGTATTGTTCCAATACAACATATGGAACAATACATCACACATGGAATACAACGCACATACCTGGAGAGCATTCCGAGTTAACGCTCCCGCGGCCCGGTCCATGACCAGGCCTCGCGGTGGATCAGGGCCTGATCAACCAGGCTGTTACTGCTGGCCGCACGCAGACCGACATACAAGCCACAGCCCGTTCCCAAAGCCCCTAAATTACTGGAAGCAGTTGAAGGCCCTTGACTTGTAGTCCTTTGAACGCAGGCGACAAAGATACATGATAATATACATTTAGAAAATCCTAGAGGGACTAGTCCCAAATCTTCACACCGAAATCACTCCCTACGAAAGCAAAAGACTCGGCAGGCAGTGCAACATCCCTCCAATAAAAAGCAGGGGTGCCATAAGTATGCTAAGGAACAACACAGTAAATGTCAGGGGCACAAAACTGTTCAACTGCCTCCCAGTATACATAACGGAGGTTACCAATAGACCCCTGGCTATCTTCAAAGAGCTGGACAAACCTAAAATCAGTGCCTGACCAGCCGAGCTGTGGTTCCTACGTCGGTCTGCGTGCGGCAAGCAGTAACAGCCTGGTTGATCAGACCCTGATCCACCGTAAAGCTTGGTCACCCCGCGTTGACTCTCGGAATGCCTCCAGGTATGTGTGTTGTATTCCATGTGTGATGTATTGTTCCATGTGTGATGTACTGTTCCGTGTTGTACTGTTCCATGCGTTATATTGTTCCATATGGGATGTACTGTTCCGTGTTGTGCTGTTCCATGCGTTATATTGTTCCATGTGTGATGTACTGTTCCATGCGTTATATTGTTCCATGTGTGATGTACTGTTCCGTGTTGTACTGTTTCATGCGTTATATTGTTCCATGTGTGATGTACTGTTCCGTGTTGTACTGTTCCATGCGTTATATTGTTCCATGTGCGATGTATTGCTCGATGTGTTGCATTGTTCCGTGTGTTGCATTGTTCCATGTGTTACATTGTTCCATGTGCTGTACTGTTCCATGTGTGATGTGTGTTGCATTGTTCCGTGTGTGTTGCATTGTTCCATGTGTTACACTGTTCCATGTGTTGTACTGTTCCATGTGTGATGTATTGTTCCCTGGGTTCATGTCCATTTGTATGTCCATGTGATGTATTGTTCCCTGGGTTACATTGTTCCATGTGTTGTACTGTTCCATGTGTGATGTGTTGCATTGTTCTATGTTTCTGCTGTATTGTTCCATGTGTGTTGTATTATTCCATGTGTGTTGTATTGGTCCATGTGCGTTGTATTGGTCCATGTTTCTGCTGTATTGTTCCATGTGTGTTGTATTATTCCATGAATGTTGTATTGTTCCATGTGTGTATTCCATGTGTGTGTTGTACTGATCCATGTGCGTTGTTCATTGTACTAGTCCGTGTTCATTGTATTGGTCCGTGTTCACTGTATTGGTCCGTGTTCATTGTATTGGTCCGTGCTCACTGTATTGGTCCGTGTGCGTTGTTTTGGTCCGTGTGCGTTGTTTTGGTCCATGTGTGCTGTGCTAACCTATATGTTTTGGTCCTTGATTAGTTTACTGGTCCATGTTATATTTATAAATTTATTTCAAGTGCCACAAATTTCCCCATCGGTGATTTGTTCCAGATATACTATTATATTGTACATACCCATAATTGTACCAGCCGTAATTTACATCGGTTCAGAGTCACGTCTGGCCCATCAGAGGTCAGGCCATCAGCTGACGTGACAGTACCGATGCGGTTCACTCCCGCTTGCTTGTGACTGTATTGATCCACTCTGCGGTACAGATTAGTGTGCTGGTTCGTCACTTTCATGCGATGGCATGGTGGTTCGTGGAAGTTGGTCCGTATGAGGGCAGCTGACTCAAGGACTGAGAAATGGTATGGTGTTGAAAACCGACAAGTTGTGGAATAGACACTTTTGTTTAATACTATTCCACCGTCGCTCGTAGCTTTCCACCTGCTCTGCCTACATATTTCGTTTTCAGTTTCCTGTTTTAGGACTAAAGAAGCCACAGTAGCCGAAACGTTTCTTAATAATAGTCCTGAACTGTAAGCAACTCGTCTTTCCCACAGTACTCAATAGGCGATGTTACATTATTGTCTTCCGGGAACGGTTAACAAAGCTCTATATAATTCTACAACCAATATCTTTCGATGAGAGAAATAAGAAAGAAACTGGCTTTACCTGTATCAATTTTATAAACTTTTATGTACCTTGTTTAGCTCCACTGGCAAATAAGTTCCAATTAAGGTCGGGGTATAAAAATCAATTACAATTAAGAATGATCATACATAGTACACTATGTGTAAATTACCTAGGATAACCCAAACAAGTCAGACAAAGTGATTTATTTCCACTGTAGTCCTTGAGTTAAGCCTCCACGTGCTGTATGATCCTCATACAAGTATTAATAACGACAACTTCTTGAAATTTTCCAGGGATACAACATCCTGTCTCGCCCTCCAGGATACAAATGCGCTGTCGACAATAACGAAGAAACAGATGCAGAACCTTTAATTTGGGCAACGTTTCTCTTTGTGTAGAGCTTCTTCAAAGCTCTACACAGAGTGAAGCTTGTTCTGCAACGTATTTTCGTGTCTTTGTTTGTTAGGTAATACATCTTAATATATCGACTAGCTGGACATTAAGGCTACAATTGCTCCGTATATGTGTCATGTATTCTGTATTTTAGTTTAATGTGGGAGTTATAAAATACCTCTGTTGATAATTATCGCAGTGACCATGATAATAAAACAACAGCATATATCCCGTCTCAATGTAATATATACCTCTATGAGTTGCTACACACTCAACACACACAAAATATAATATATTTATTTTATTTTTTTATATATATATTTATATATATTCCTATATATTTTATTTATTTATATAACAACACTGGGACTAGCCGAGGATTCAAACCCATGTCGTTTTGCCCCGCCTTATGGTGAACAAAAATCACATGATGCTCTAACCCACAGGACCATGCAGTCCTAAAAGAATCAAGCACCCAGCAGAGCTCAGTGTTTTACCTTGATCCGAGGACATACGGTGGTATGGGTGCCTCTGAGCTAATTTCATTCTAATCCCCGTTTGTTGTACTAGCCTTCACGAACAGTATTTTATATTATTGTAACCACAAACAAGTGGTACTGAATCAATAATACTACTGCGGTGGGATACCGGCCGTATCCCACCGCGACAGGGTGACCCAAAAAGAAAAACGAAAGTTTTTTCTTTCAATTTTCAATGGTTGTAGTACTTACTACTCCCTGGTTTAAATCATTCCACTGGTCAACGACTCTGTGAGGTGAAAATTTTCAAGTATTTCTACCGTTCTAGTTCCCCTTCACTTAACAAATGTTGCCCCTTGTTATCCCTCCTGCAGGTACTAAGAAATATATGCTTTTTTTTTTTTTTTTTTTTTTTTTTTATAATCTTGTATGTGGTTATCATGTCTCTCCCCAACGTTAGAATCGTAAGTATTATTGTCCTGTCATCATATGATCGTATATGTAACTCAGCAATTTTGCAGCGGTTCTTTGGACCTTTTCTAACTTATCTATGTGTTTATTTAATATGTGGGCACCAGACTATCGCTGCATATTCATTATGTGGTAAGCAGATGATTAAGACACATGTGCAACAGTTGGGTATCTTTATAGTTGAAACGTTTCGGCTACACAGTAGGCTTCTTCAGTCAAGTACAGAGGCAGCAGGTGTAGTAGTGAAATGAAGATGAAGCCTACCGTGTAGGCGAACAGTTTCAGCAATAGATACCCAATTGTTGCACACGTGTTTTAATCATCAACCTTTCGGTATTTCATACCATTTTTTTTCAACATAGTTGCTAAACAGGTTTCTTAGCATTTCTTCATCCTTATATTTGGAAATGTTCATAATTTCGCCAGGTGTAGCAGACGGGAGTTGCTCTAATTGCGTTGTATATCTCGGTAACAGTTTTTTAATTCCTAAGGCCCTTGATATTTTCAGAGTTTTGTCACACAGTACGTCTACAGGTGAGGCGACGGGAGATCCTACGAATGTGATCCATGGAGTCTGTCGGGTCTATCTTATCTCTCTCCTCTCTCTCTCTCTCTCTCTCTCTCTCTCTCTCTCTCTCTCTCTCTCTCGGCCGTTGTGTCACATTAACAGCAATAACAAGCTCAACGGTCGCCACTGTGACACCAACAGAGACAGAGGCGCACTAGGATGCATTTTATTTTTTTATCTATAT